TCGTACAGTTGTAAATTTATATGTTTACAATAAAAAAATTTAAAACGTTCTTCAACTGTATGAAATGGTATATTCAAATGTCCTCTTGTTTTTGATCAGATAAAATATTTTGTATTGATTGCAGGGGTCGTTTCGTAGAAAAAGAGCTAGGGGAACTCATTAGCATAACTCATTAGCATATGCCACACTCCCTGACATCACCGGAAGTGTGTCCTAAGGCCACACACCCCGCCCCCAACGGTCCCCGCCGCCGACCTTGCAGCTCCACTGCCGAGCCCCATGAGGGGCCTGGCGGTGGACCTGCAAGGCCGGCGGGAGTGCAAGGAAGCCCCGCGAAGGCCCTCCCTGGCCCCAGGCAGGTAGGGGTGGGGAGAGGCAGGGAGGAAGCAACTTACCCTCCCTCTTCTCCTGCTTCCTCCTGGCCCCCCCCCCCGAAATGACCTCTGATTGATTGAATGTGTTGTGATTTGCCTGGCTCAGAGACTCCAAGGCCTGGAACCTCTAAGTACAAGGAAACATGATAGTACTTCACTGCAGAAGACCAAAAGGCTTTGGAGGGGCCCAATATCCAGGAAGTCTTAATCCCCCTCACTGCTTGCTATAGATAGATAAAGTCTTGGTATAGAGCAAAATATATCTGAGCCAGGAATAAGCTCTTCTATGAATGCTAAGACTGCAAACACTCTGCACATTTCCAGAGTGCTTGTCTCTCACTATAAAGAACGCACACATCTCCATATATACTGAGGCTGAATTTCTAGGCAGAAGGGTGAGATTTGCAGGCTAGTGCAATTTTGGAATGTCCCAGCACTGATTCGTTGTTTTCTCCCTTGCCCCTCCACTTTCAGCAGACCTCTCCACCAGTGTTCCCTCTAAACTGAGTTAGTGTGAGCTAGCTCAGTTTTTAGCCTCCGGCTCACACATTTTTGTCTTAGCTCAGGGAGGAGGGCTCCACGGCAAACTAATTTGCACAGCAGCCAAATCGCTGGCTCACAACTTTAATGCCAGTAGCTCACAAAGTAGAATTTTTGCTCACAGGACTCCATAGCTTAGAGGGATCATTGCTACCCACTGACCCTTGCAACACATTGAGCCTTCAGCCTGTACTCACTCATATTTGCAAGAGACCTCCCGGCTGGCAGTCCAAGTTGCTAAGTACAGCCTGGCAAACAGAATATCAATTCTGCGTGATCGTTCAATTACCACTCTATATAATACAATATCTATATAATACAATAAACCTAATATCCTCTGCTCTGTAACGCATCACCATAGGAGCTTCTTCTGAATCAAGTGTCAAATATTTTGGGGTACAGTGTACAGTTTTTGACTGTGTTGTTATATGCACAACCTCCAGATGGTGGCTGGAGATCTCCTGGGATTGCAACTGATCTCCAGGTGAGAGAGATCAGTTCCCCCAGAGAAAACGGCCACTTTGAAAGGTGGGCTCTATGGCAATATAGCCCATTGAAGCCCCTCCTCAAGCCCGCCTTCCTCAGGCTCAACCCCCAAAATCTCCAAGTATTTTCAACCTGGAGTGGGTAACCCTAGTCGCTCTCCCACAGGGGCTCCTTCCTGTTGCTACGATGGGCCTGAAAGAACATGGCAGGAACTGAAGTTTTGTTGTCCTGCGCAGAACAACTTTCTGTCTGGCCACATGGCTGCCGATCTGTCTCTACTGCTGGGATGGGAACTGCCCCTGACAAAAGCGTCTCGAGCCCCCCCCCCCCCCCCAACCCCACCGCAAGTTAAAGTGAAAACCCCGCGGCCTCCCTGCGCAATGGAAAGCCTGACATGGGGAGGGACCTTAGGAGGTCTCCTCAGAAGTGAGGCCCATGTTACTCATTGTGGCTTACTTTGAAGAAAGGATACTCAGGATTGCAGCTGCAAACATGCACTCTTGGCTCTTCACCCATGGTTCAGGATATTTCCATTCAGCGAAGGTTCCTTTGGGCATCAACTCTGCCAGGGCTCTTGCACACACACGAAATGACACACTTTCAATTCACTTTCCATTCACTTTGCAACTGGATTTTACTGTGTGAAATGGCAACATCCACTTGCAAATGGTCGCTGCAGTGGATTGGGCATAACATTCGAACAGCCACTATGGCTGTTCGAGAACCACCACGGCCGGGGTGAGCTCCCGGCCCTAGTCCCAGCTCCCGTCCACCCAGCGGCTCTAAAGCAATTAAATAAAAAAGCTAGTAGACAAATGGGTACCTACCCTCAGATGGGTAGGGGGCACCCACCTCTGCCGAGTTATGTGGTGGAGGCACCGGCGGCGGCAAAAACAGCAGCGGCGGCAGCAGAGCGTTGGCGATGGAGGCGGTGTGGCGATGCGGCGGCAGCGAGGTCGACAGAGCGATCCCTGGTGGCCAGCAACCATAACATCGGGTGGCTGATGACGACGAAAGGTGGAGACTGGAACGCGGGTGCGGCGGAGCCTAAGGGACACAGCCGAGGCCGAAGCAGACATGGACCGTGCTCCTGAACAGTCCCGCCGAAGGAAACCACCATGACCCAACCCTGGACACCAGGACGGACGTGCCAACCAAAGACCGCCTGGGAAAAAGGAGCCGAGCCGGAAAAACAACATGCCCACCACTTGGGTGCCGGTAGGCAGCCCCACCCCTGCACTATGTGGCCCTAGCTAGGGAAAAGTGTTCTTAGAACCCTCTATGTAAACCGCCCAGAGACCCCTTGGGGTCAGGGCGGTATAGAAGTCGAATAAATGAATGAATAAATAAATAAATAAATAAAATCCACTTGCAAATAGTCGCTGAAGTGGATTAGGCATAACATTCAAGGGAGTGGCATGAGAATTGATTGTGACGTAGTGATCCCTGCCCGTACTGAGCAAAGGTCAAGAGCAAATATTTGTTTAGACAACAGGAGGCCATAAAGTGAACTGAAAACTCTTTCTTGCTCTGGTGAGAAATAAACATGCCCTTTTGTTGTAGAAGTGAGCAATGCTACTACGGTACACTATCACCTCACAAATGTTTGCTCTTTCCTGACGCACTAAATTAATGGCTGACAGAAGGAATACATCCCCTCATTTGACCCACAAACCCTCTCAACACTCCAGTCAACCACGACTCAAATGTGCACCACAAAGATGGTTCTCGGGGCCTGCTGGGCTTGGGCACGTCTTTCTCTTGAATTCCCTATATTACAGGATAGGCCAGCTTGGGCGCTGTCATCTGATGCTCTCCTTGATGCAAAATGGCAGAAGAGGGCAGCCGATCCAAAGTAGGGCCCGGAGACAAGAGGGAGACATAGGAGTGAAGAGATCTGGAGCAGATCCTGACAGAAACAGGGATGTGCCCAATTTAAACTGGCTCAGAAGAGGAGACTGTGGTTATACAGCACAGGGGTGTATCCGGGGTGAAGGGACAACAAGGTAGTGTTGCCGTTACTAATTTCCAAACTGCATAACGATGTGCATGTGACTGATGTACGCCTTAAACAATTAAACCACCACATTGGAAACAGCCACTATAACTACATGGCACTGATCCAGTGTGGGGTAGCCATGAGAGTGCCGGACTAGGATTTGGGAGACCCGAGTTCGAATCCCCACTTTGCCATGGGAGCATGCTGGGTGACCTTGGTCCGGTCACACACTCTCAACCGAACCTCCCTCATGGGGCTGTTGCACAGGGAGCCCTTCGACAGCTGCTGACAAATCAACCATAAAGCCATGGATCACATGTATCAAGTACAGTAACGCTCATCTGCTACTGAGTTTCACAACCCCATGACCTCTCACCTTGGGGATTCCTCAGATGGTCCAATAGTCTGTTATTCTCCACAGACCATTTCCTCTTTGCACCCAAGGAAAACCCACAAAAGGATACCACTGTGGCTCTAGTCACAGTCTTAACTCACCCTTTTAATCCATGATATGCCACTTTTCCTCAATGGCATCTCTCAAACCTCCTTATACTCAAAATTAATTGTGACATCAATCGCAATGGCTTTCTGGTCCCCCACAAAAGACCAAAACAGGCCTCTGTAATTCGCCTTCAGTCACCTTTAGACTTGGCTCACGGTGCATTAACTGTGCATTAATCTTTGGCTTCTTCAGCCAACGGTGCATTAATCTTTGGCTTCTTCAGCCAAAGTCATACAAATTGTATGCCAAAATGTTTGCATAGTCTCCACTGCTGGACATTGGCCAAAGATGTGGGACGTTTTGAACCTGGCGTCAACACTTCCAACATCTGTTGACATAATCCTGTGGGTTTCTACTAAGAAACTTTCTTGTAGACGGCATGTTCACACACAACTTCAATGTAGTTATAATCCTAATACTCTACAAGAGGCAATACAATTCTGTTTCAGATGGTATCTCAGTGATGCCCCGGGTGTGGCTCTGTTAGCCATGAGGATTCTTTGTTCTATGACATAGGCTGATTTGTTGACAGTTGTGTAAGAGTTGTTTTTTGGTTTTCTTATTTATGGCTGTGGACATTTTTCGTATGCTGCCTTAGGCCTTTTGGGGATAGGGGAGATGGTGGGATATCAATATTGTAATAACATTTCCACTAAATGTGGCTTTTCCCAGCTACGACATTAGGATACAGAAAAAGCAGTTTGCAAAACTTTTTAAAAGCATGCACAGGTGACCTTCTCAAGATACCCCTAAAATGCAGGTGGCAGCAGCAGCTACAAGCATGGACAGCTTCAAGAGGGAATTAGATAAGCATATGGAGCAAAAGTCCATCAGTAGCTATTAGCCGCATGGTATAGATAGGAACTTTCAGGCTGGGGCAAGGGATGCACTGTATTCTTGGTGCTTGGGGGGGGGCAACAGTGGGAGGGCTTCTAGTGTCCTGGTCCCACTGCTGGACCTCCCTGTGTGACAGTGTTGGACTAGATGGGCCATTGCCCTGATCCAACATTGGCTTCTCTTATGTTATTATGCCAGGGCAATACACAATAGCTATGAAAACAGATGCTTTAAAAGACCGAGACAAAGACCTTTGGTGGATTCAGTTGATCACAGGCCTCAGTGAGGACAAGTTTATTGAGATGACCACAAAGATATGGCATTGTTACCCCCACCCCGTTAGTGCATTCTGTATCTGTGCAACCTGTAACTGCTGTAAACCTGGATCACTGCCACTTACCCCTTTCTATGTCAATCATTGACGACTGCTTCTTTTGAAATGACTAAGAAGGGTTGAGCAACAGGCCCAGTTCCCAGGAACTATCGGGGAACTCAGGCCAAACTATAGCCGCAGTTTGAGCGGACAAGTGAGGAATGAATCGTTTGCTAAGCTTCAGCGGGGCCTCGCTTTCAAGCAGCTTTGATGGCAGGAAGTGCAGGTGACATCACTTCCTCCAGAGGTTTCTATCCATGTGTGGGAAACTAAAATGGTACTCTGTTGGATCCATGGCCTGGGCTTCCATGAATTCCAAATGGCACTTTGAACTGTCAGTTGAGTGTAGCCTACGTTTTGGATAAGAGAGCTGCAGGATTAATTCTCGATCCCAAATCATAGCAAGACAAAGAATGTAGCATTTTCCACCACTGCAGTATTGCAATAGGAAAAACTGCATGAGTCAAAATTCTCCCTCCAAATCAACTAAAAGCACAGCAGGCCCACTTAATAATTCTAAAGCACCCGCCCTCCCCCCCAAGACGAAACACTTCGTTGCTGCCTGCCCTTGGTTTTCCTCTAGCATGACCTGACCACTGCAAGAATTTTTATTTCTAACAATAAAATAGTCCCATTGAGGAGACCTGGAGACAAAAACCATGAACTAGTACAACTAGGAAGTTTGCTCTTGTTATTTTCAGGGCACAGATTTAACGAATAGTTAAGAAGGGCTTGAGTTCCCAGTGTCTTTTAGCTTATCTGTAATGCTCAGAAGTAAAAAGAAAATTTGAATGTTGCAAATGCAAGCACACTTTGGTCAGCATTTAAGCTACCGTGCCTCATTTCTGTCAAGTTCTACTAACTGTGGGAGGAGGAAGCTTACCTCTTCCTCCCCCCCCCTTCCCACCATCACTCTTCCTCAGTTAAGTGGCTGTACTTTACTAGCTGCTGTACTTTAGAAGCCATCGGGGGCTATATTCTTTAGCTGCTCTCACCACTTTATCGGGAACGACTGTTATCGCACAAGCTCGGCAGGCCCAAAATCTCACGAGGACCGGCAGCTCCTGGAATCTGGCTCCTCCTCCGGTACGTATCTGTAAAGGTGTGATGTAATCAGGCTAGGCTGAGTCACACCAAACACTGCTAGAATCCGGAAAGCCCTCTCACTTTACCTCCTTTTAATCAAGACTGGGAACAATCCAGTCTAAGACAAAGAGAAGCTGTCCCTCCTCTACTTTTTCTGCAGCACAGATATACAACCCCATCAGGTATAGACTGGTGACGTAGGATAACTTTCCCCGTTTGTAGAGAATCAGCTGTGCCACCTCCTGCTACCCCAACAGGCACCACTTCCACAAGCTCTGCCTAGAATTTCTCTTCGTAAAGTTACAGTCAAGCAAATGAACAGAACAGAGACAACCCAAAAGACTTGTTTTCAGTACAACCTTTGGCAGAGTTTTCTTTTGGAATACAATTCGGGAAGAGCTTTCTATTTGCTTTGCCCAAAGGGAGGGCAACATTCCTGAGCTGGGAAAACCTGACACTCACGGAGAGCCATTTAAATTAATTTACAAAGAACGACCCTGGAAGCGACTATGGAAAAAGCTCTGTGAAAAAGCTCTGTGAAGTCTGCAGTGATGGGACCCACTGGAAGGATTCTGTTCACAGGGTCCAGCAGTTCACCCTCCAGTGGTGGTAACTGCACCCCCCCCCCCCCGGTCACTTATTGCCATTTTCGAACAAGGCCAAAGATCTGCTTCACCTGATCAGACAACTCAGCAACCACCACTGCTCAGAAACCAGACAGGAAGTGAGGTATTTGCTCTTGAGTGGGTGGTTTGCTTCGTCAGGCGCAGGGGCTTCAGTTCCGTCCTCCCCACAGGTCCACAGGAAAGGCCATTCAATCAGATGTTCAGGGCTGCCACGGTCTTCACCAGGGTGACCTGCGTCTCAGGATCCACCCTGCTCTTGTTATTGTCAGCATTGTTGCTCTTGCCGGCCAGGACTTTCTGCCGGTGTCGGTCTTCCTGGCGGCGTTTCTTTTCCAGCCGCTGCTGATCCTTCTTTTGCCTATTGGACACCTGTCGAACAGGGGAAAGTTAGGGAGGCAGCAAAGGGAACAGAAGAAGGCTGGAGCCTGATCTGGCGGGACGGTGCTGGCAGCAGATTTTGGGACACGGGTGTTGGAATGCTCCAAAGCTATGTCATCAAGGAAGGAAAGAACAAAAGCATGGCCTGTGGATCTAGCAGGGGTGGAGTGGGGTCGTGGCTCCAATGCAGAGCAATGCAGAGCTCCCGGAAGACATCAGGGCCCTGCGGGACCTCTTACAGTTCCGCAGGGCCTGTAAAACCGAGCTCTTCCACCAGGCCTTCGATTAAGGAGCCACCGCAACCATCTGAGACCCTGGCCCGGATACCATCAACATTTTAATAACACCAATAATATCATTAACATCACTGAATAGCCTGTGCCTTGCTGACATGACCCAGACCATGCGCTAATTGTGGACTCCCACCATCAGGGGTCATTTCCTGTAGGAGCGCACAGGAGCAGAGCTCCGGCAGTAAAGAGCCCAGGGAGTGGGCACATGCAACAAGCCCCACCCCCGGCTCCTAGCAGCCCCCAGTCAGAGCAAGAAACAGCCAGGTAAATTGCAGAGCCTCCCCCACCCCCGGTCCAAAACAGTCCAGTGGCACCTTTAAGACCAAGTTTTATTCAGGTACAAGCTCTCCCTCCTCTGCGAGGACAGATTAGCACGTTCCCCCCCCCCCCCAATCGCTCCTCCCCCCAATAGCTAGCAATCCAAAACAGTCCAGTGGAGCCTGAGTGGTGGGTGTTGCCTTCTGACACACTTCTGGTGATGTCAGGGGGTGTGGCATATGCAAATAAGTTATGCTAATGAGTTATGCTAATAAGCTCCTGCACCTCTTTTTCTAAGAAATGACCCCTGCCCGCCATGTTGTATGCCATTGCTAGCACTTTATGTATTGTTTTTAGATTTAATTTATTATAATTTTAACTGAGAAATTGTTTTATCAGTAATAATGTTGTGAGCTGCCCTGAGCCTGCTGCGGCGGGGAGGGCGGGACAGAAGCCAAATAAAATAAAATAAAATTTTAAAAATGATTAAAACAGCCTTATGTCACAAAGGGTTGGGACACCAGCTTTCGGCAACTCACTGGATCAGAAAGGGACCCCCTAAGCTATGGTGGACATCACTCAAGGTAGAGTAAGGAAACTGCCTTATGTTCACGCCATTGCTGGGGAGATGCAGTGTTTTGCCAGCCAGCAAGGCCACAGCCGCGTGGAGCACAGTCAGGATCATGGTTACTCAAGTATCACTGGGGTCTACTGCACCCGTGACACCACTGCTGATGAGTCACATGACACCCCCCCATGGCAACACTGCACAAAAGGGGAGGGAAAGTGAACAAATTATTATGAATCAATGTATGTCTTGTATTGTGCAACTGAAAAAGATACTTTCATACAATCTATGTTAATATAATTCATACAAAATAGTTCGCACAGAAATCAATCCATAGGTCTATCCCATTCTCATTCAGTATCTCAATATCCATTTAGAGGTGAAATGGAAGTGTCCTTTCAACAGTCTTCACGTACGGCCTTTGAAACTGAACTGAAAACGGAATCATTTGGATATATTCATCTGCTATATTTTGAAACTGATGAACTGGAAACGACACAGTGGTCGAATCTGGATTTGCATTTTTAAATCAGTTTCGTGCTGCTGTGACGCCGTCTTTCTCTTTGAATGCTGTTTGAAGAAGATACTCTTAAAGCAGTGCAGAATTGCAATGACAGTGGAGCCGCCACGAAAGGGCAATAAACATATGCGGACGTGCAAAAGTATGCTAGCACTGTTGAGGTGTGAAAACGACCGAATGTAGACAGCTTTTTTGAAGATGGAGTCAGAAGGCTGGGACACCGGTGGGAACGACAAATGCAGATTCGACCAGTACTTCTTTGAGATACTGACTGAGAATTAAATATATATACTTGATTGATTTCTGTGTGAACTATTTTGCATGAATGATACTGACAGAGCATGTATGAAACAAAACACAAGACTTATACAGATTCATAGTAATTTGTTCACAGCTTTTTTCCCTTTTGTACTAACTTCTTTTCCGTGAATCTCTTTGACTATTTACAAGATCTGAAACTGGCTTATCTCAATGCAGCGGGATTGGTGAAGCACCTTCTCAAAAGATTCTGAGCCACACATTTTCTCGGTCAACACATTTTCATACTTTGCTTGAATCCATGAGCAAAGACTGCCCTCTGAACAGCAGAGGGAATCAAGGAAATGAAAAACCTGAGTATAGGAAATGAAGCACACGCTGGACACACACAGAGGGAAGGACCAATAATTCTAGCAACAGAACAGGATTAAGAGTGGAGGAGAACCAGAGCAGGGCAAAGGACTCAGGGTTGCCAACAATATGCATGAACTGCAGCCTGAGCAGCAGGAAGAGGAGATCATGGTAAGCCTGGGGAAAGAGACGGCACAGAGACTGGACTGTGGGCAGAATTAACAATGCAAACTAAACCAGGCACGCCAACCTGAGTATCTGGACAAGAGGGTGAGCGGCGACACTGCTGAAGAAGCAATAGAGAGTGAGTCAATCAGGAAACCGAGAATTTCTGCTGCGGACTTGCTAAGTCCAGACCAAGTCCTTCCCCTGCCTGAAATACCAGCAACTCCCAAGAGCCTTTCGGCAATCTGCCCCTTTTAGGTACCTTGGGAGCCTGCTTTTTACTGCTTTGGTTTCCTTCTGCAAGGCTCGTCGGGGCCTTGTTGTTTTCTACGCCCTGAGTTCCAAAAATCCGGGCGCCGCTTCCGTTCTCCTCCCAGAGGGCCGACTGGGGATGCGACTTCTGCCGGTTCGCTAGAGCCTCGTGTGCTTCCTCCTCATCTGAAAGGGGAAGCAGGGTGGGTCAGAAACGGAAGGCATTCCTTGGTGTCAGCACTAGGGTGACTGCGGTTATCAATAAAGGAGTGTGCAAGTTAATGCTGGGCAGCAATCAGAAACTACGGGGGAGGGGGGGGCAGCATTGGGAGGGAAGAAGCGGAAGCTTGTGTTTCCCAATTAAGACTGATGACGGAGAAAGGGCTGTTTGAAAAGTCAGCTGGCAGGCAGAAGGACTCGCTGGGCACTTACGCAGCCTCTTCACCTCATTCATTTGAAGAACGGTAAATATTGCAGACTCGATACTGTAGTTCTCTGACTCAAGGACCTGGACAATTAAATGAGCATCCTATAAGAAAGGGACAAAAAAACCCATGTGGGATGGATTTGAGATGCCGACGATGCCTATATTTAACTCCTGCAGAGTGTTCAAAACACCCCAACACTACTGTGGCAACCATATAAGGAAGGTGTTGCTTGTCTTCCTATTGCAGACACAGAGCTGAGGCCGAGAGCTTAGACCACATGGTGGGATTCATGACTGAAGCTACATTCAACTTAGGGACTGAGTCATCTGGGGCTGAGCCACTACAGTCACTCTTGACTCTGTTAAGGCAACAGAGGTGACCCGGACTAGAAGACCATCAGGGGACTGGGATCGGGGACAGCTGAACCCTGCAGTTCCACAAGGGAACTTCCAAGCTCTCAGCACTCGCAAGATAGCAATTCTCAGCTTTCCTGAGCAAAAGGCATGTCAGCAAGTCTGTTTATGCCCAGAGGGGTCTAGCCGCATCTCATTTTCTGCAATTGCATGGTACAAACTAAACCTCCAAAAGCTGGGGGGGATCATGCCAGATCTCTTGTTGAGACGGTTTGGCAGAATGAGTTACCCAAACGGGCTTGCACCGAGAGGCACCTCCACCTGCACATACAGTTCCCAACCGAGAGATGCTAAAACTCTCACCGAGCAGCCGGTTGCATTCCGAACTTTCTGCACCGCATCCTCGATTTCGTCTCGGATCTCCTCTTCAGATTCCTCCTCCTCCTTATTGAGTTGGAGATTTTCTTTTTTATTGGTTTCGTTTTTGCACAGCATCTGGAACCACACAAGTAGTAGACAGCTCAGTTACGACTCTTGAGGGGGAACCCTGTGGCCAGCTCCCCAGTCAATCAATCAATAAACCTTTAATGGCATATACAACATTAAAATCAGAGACAGAAAATGACACAATCAACTAAGAATCTAAGTTAATTATAAAATCATGACACGGAGTTTCCCAAGTTTTTCACTCTTATCACGTCAACTAAAAAATTGGCCACTGCCACAGTAATCTCTGCTGTTATATCGTTCAATAGAAATTGGCATTTTATTTCATGGGAAAGGTGATGTTTACCATGCAACCAAGTGTTTAACCATTTTTCCCTAGCAGATGCATGGCACGAACAGTCTAACAATATGTGATCAATTGAGTCAAGAGAGTTAGAACCGCAGTCACATCTCCGTTCATGCTTAGGAATATTTTGAAACCTACCATACAGTAGTTTTGATGGAAAGGCATTTACTCGAGCAAGAGAGAACGCTCTTCGATGGCTAGGGCTATCAAGGTTATACAAATACCGGGGAATACATCCCACAACATTCTTAAGATTTAATGTAGCTGAAGAATAGACAGGGGGATGAAGGGGCTGCAGTTTTTGAAGTTCAGTATCTAACAGCCTCTGTTTGATTGTTTGGAAGATATACACTTCAGAGGAAAAAGCTAGCTCCTCCAAGGAGAGGCCCAAAGATCTTATTTTGGTTAGAATATTATAGTCCCTTTTGGCTAAGAAGTGTAAACATTATCTACCTAAGCTCCCCAGTCTCTCTCTACTAAGGGTTAGTATGGGAAATTTTTGGGAAATCCGTGGCGGTCAGTAACACGAACCAACACAAGGAAATGTTTGGGACAAAGGGGCCGTCTCAAGCCACGTGTTTCTCTTGGAGAGAAAATGGAGCTGCTGATTTCAGTAGTGACCCTGTGATCACTACCCCATGCTCAATTGTGCAGCAACTGCAGATTTCCACTGGCAGTTTAAGAGGACTGAATGTCACAGGGAAACTGTTCCCACACACACATAGGAGGAAGACAGGGAGAAAACGTCTGGGTCTGGGGATCTCATTTGCAAGTCAAATTACCAGCTGTTCAGCTTCAGAAGCACATGAGTGTACAGCACAGAGTAACTGCTGGGAAAACAGCTAGATCAATCGTGTAGTAGCTCTATGTGCACCTGGGAAAGGTGTGAAGCCATATCCTTTACAGGGCATCAATTGCTGTCATCATCATAGGGGTAGCTGGGTTAGTCTGTCTGTAGTGGTAGAAAAAAGCAAGAGTCCAGTAACACCTTAGAGACTAACACAAGGTGTGGAAGAGCAGTGACTCATGAAAGCTCAGACCCTGCCACAAGTTTTGTTAGTCTTTAAGGTGCTACTGGACTCTTTGCTCTTTTCTACTGTTTCATTATCTAGTCAGGCTTATCATAGAATCATAGAATGTTAGAGTTGGAAGGGACCTTGCAGGTCATCTAGTCCAACCCCCTGCACTCTGCAGGGGCATAGCCGAAAGATAGCCCTACATCCCTACAACATACCCGAAAGATGGTCGTCCAGCCTCCGCTTGAAAACTTCCAGCGAAGGAGCATCCACCACCTCCCGAGGCAGACTTCTTTTCTTAGATGTTTAAACAAGCTTTTATAATAATGATCTCTTGAAAATGGCTGTTTCCTTCCCTCCTCCTCCATGCTCAATTCTGCTTTTTGCCTCTGAGGTTTCTCTCTGCTTGTGGCCATAGGTTACAGAATTTGTCCCTGACATAGATTTGATCGAAGGAGATTTAACTGCGCAATTTTTTACAACGTATCAGACTCGTTACCCAGCATGTCTTGGATATTTATTTAAAGAGGGATTGTGTGGCTGTCAATCTCCATTGAAGGATTACATTTCAGATTCCCACCCTACACTTGACTGACTTGCCTAAATCTGTTTTCACAGAGAAGCTCACGTGCAAATCACTTTAAGGGGTGAAGCCGTGGCTCAGCTGTACGGCATTTGCTTCATATGCAGAAGGGTGTTAAAAGGATTAGGTGGCAGGCAATGTTCCCTCTAAGCTGTGGAGTCTTGTGAACAAAAATTCTACTTTGTGAGCTACTGGCATTAAAGTTGTGAGCGAGTGACTTGGCTACTGCATAGATTAGTTTGCTCTGGAGCCATCCTTCCTGCGCTAAAAAACTGTGAGCTGGCTCACACTAACTCAGCTTAAAGGGAACAGTGGTGGCAAGTGATGTGAAAGATCTGAGGCCCTGGAGAGCCACTGCCAGTCAAAATAGACCATACCTTGATAGATCAATGGAAGGGCCTGTGGCTCAGTGGCAGACCATCAGCTTGATACACAGAACGTCCCAGGGTTCAATCCTCAGCATCTCCAGTTAAAACGATCAGGTCATGGGTGATGGGAAAGACCTCAGCCCGAGACCCTGGAGAGCCGCTGCCACTCAGAGCGGACAAGACTGACCTTGATGGACCAATAGTCTGATTCAATATAAGGCAGCTTCTTATGACGTATCAATGGTCTGACTTGGCAGAAGGAAGTGTTATGTGTGCACTTGGCTTTACACCCACACTACTGCCCACCACTAAGCAAGTGCAGCCAACCCCATGTGTCTTTAGACATATGACCCAGTTTAGAAGAACCAACCTCTGTCTGTAACCGGGCAGGAGTCTCTGAGTTATCGTTGATTTTTCGAACGCTGTCATAGTGCTCTCCGTACCGGTAGGCAATGTGCAGCTCTTGGGCGTTGCTCTTGTCTGTTCCTCGAATCTGTGAAAGTTGGAGTGACACTTGGTGACAGGTCATGTACTTGGAGTGACACTTGGTGACAGGACTTAAATCAGGATGTTCTGAAGAATTAAACTATGGGAGGAAACCCCCACCACCAAATTTAAGAAAACAGATCTGTGCTGAAAATATTTGAATTATTTTCTTTCTTATACTTCTAAGCTGCCTTCCCCCCCAAAATAGTCCCCAAAGTGGCAAACGTCAAACTGTTAAAACACTTCTTAAAATGCAAATATATATATCATCTTTAAGAAGAGGAGGAGATTGGATTTATACCCCACCCTTCACTTTGGAGCCTCAGAGCGACTTACAAACTCCTTTTCCTTCCCCTCCCCACAACAGATGCCCTGTGAGGTATGTGGGGCTGAGAAAGCTCTTTTCAGAACCGTCCTTGAGAGAACATCTCTGGCAGAACTATGGCTTGCCCAAGGTCATCCAGCAGCTGCAAGTGGAGGAGTGGGGACTCAGACCTGGTTCTCCCAGATTAGAGTCTGCACACTTAACCACTACACCAAACTGGCAATTCAACACAAACACACAAGCAGGAAGGAACGTTAATAAGAGTTAGGGAGTGAACACTAAACTGGAGGAAAACAGCAAGAAAGGGAGACAGATGGCTCTCCCTGAGGAGGGAGTTCTAAAATTTCAGGATGATGACAGAAAAAGCCCTTTTTTGGGTAGCCACCCGTCTAGACTGAGATGCTGGGGTCACCCAAAGCAGAGCCTCTGAAGATGATTGAAGTAGATAAGTAGGTTTACATGGGAGCAGGCAGCCCCCAATACAAAACACCAATGGACACATGTCCCTTGGTAAAACACCCAATGTAAATTTCAAAGCAATCCACTTTTTAAGGAAAGAAAACCAAGAGTTTCACACAACTCAAGAGGGCCGCTTGAAAATCCTTGCAAGAGAGGAGAGGTAGACATTGTCAGGGATGCCCCCGGATGACTGGAGCCAGGTTCTATTCCCCACAAGGAGATACCAAGCATTCAAGAACTGGAACTCCAGCCAGCCATTTTCCAGAGTCTGAGGAAGACAGAAGCAGAGTTGCAGTTGGCTAGCAGCCAGGACTGTGCAAGATCCATTCCAATAATGGAACTGCTTTCCCCCCTTGGGAGCTAGAGCAATATCTGGTTGAAGGGTGGGCTACACTTTAAGAAATTAGAAAGCCCCTCTCTCACATTCCACACTGATTGTGGCAGGAAGCGAAGTAGCAACCACTTTCCCCAAAACCTCTACCTACCTCCCTCTCCCCACAATAATGCCCCAGATTCTGTGTCTCTAATCATGCAGAATAATAAATGCCGTTTACTGATGCTGAGCCAATCCCCCCCCCTACCCCCCCCCCCCCCAGCTGCACTCCACACAGAACATAAGAGGTCAAACATTAATTTTCATGAAGGTGTTCTGTTAGCACAAGCTTGTTTACAATGCACTGTTTTGTGCACCAAAGGGGCTGTTCCCCTCCTCCCTCTTCACACTGTTCAAAACATTCTTTTGCAAACAGCTGTTTGTGACAGGAGTAGAGATGTGAAGGCCCGGAAAAAAACTGGAAAAATTCGGGGAAAAAACGGGTTTTTTCCGTTTTTTTCCTTAAGCCTTTTTTGTTTTTTTCCGAAAAATTGGAAAAATTGAAAAAAGAAAAGAAAAAAATTGATTATGGAACGTTTTATATTAACATGATGAATAAAATATTTTAAGACAAGGTGTTCAAATATTTTCCAAATCATTTCTAATCTCTCCTTATATATAATTGAATAGTGGGTGCCAAAGTTCTAATTCTAAAATGCACTCCCTTAGTGTATGGCTGATGGCACTGCTCCTCAGCATATATCACCACCAATCAGAAGGCAAAGCCCGGGTCCCGCCCACACCACAACTGCTGCGACAACCTGGTCTTTTGCATATGGAAGCTGATTGGACTTCACTCCATTCCACACCTCAAACCCCCCCCCCCCTCTAGATCCCGTTGTATTTATTTCCACAATGGGCCTTATTTCTAGTATATATATATATATGGTATCAGATTGATCTAATTTCTGTGCACTGAGGACAAGCAAGCTGTAGGTTACAAACTGAACTCTCCAATGCAAGAACAAGATGCATTTCTTCCTTTAGGAGGTGCTATTGTCAGAAGAAAATAAAAAGGTTTCAGTTTTGTTTTTGCATGTGGGTGGGTATTCTGTTTGTAATAATTGTTTGGATACACTATATTTTTAATATGCTAGTTGTGATAATTTCATGCCAAGTAAAAATGTCCATAGTCATATTTTATGTTCCTAAAGTAACAGAATGACTTTCAATCTAGAAAAGACAAAAGAAATGCTAATGTAGCATTTTTTTTCAATTTTTCTGAAAATTTCCGTTTCCCCCCCCAAAACCCGTTTTTTTTCCCGAGCTTCAAAATTTCCGGGAATTTTACATCTCTAGACAGGAGAGTAGGTCTGCACAGACAATGTGACAGCCCATCAGTTCTTCCCGATTTGCTACCTGCCCACTCAGCTTGAGGCTTACCTGCCACAGAGGGGCATTCATCTGGTGGATAACAACGTTCACTTGATTGTTCCTCGCAAAGGCTACAATAGCATCGTTGCCAGCGAAAGTGCCAGGCTGTGCCAAATTGGCAACTGGAAGAGACCAGAAGAGAGGAAACATATGAAATGATACCAATCCCCTCCCCCCCAAAAAAAACCCTGGAAAAGATACCACACAGATAAAACAGCGGAAGCTAGACAGAACAACAGCCTCATCATCAAGACAGAGTGGGAGGCAAGAAAGGGCCAGTCGTTACAATATTTACTCAAATGCAAGACCAGAGTTTTCCCTAGGTCTGCCATCAATAAAAAGAGGTGCCACCTTGCATTTGCATACAAGTTACAATTATGTCAAGTAACAACCAGCACTGCATAGTGGTTAGACTGTCGGCCTAAGATTGGGATACCCCAGTTCAAACCCTCACTCTACCATGGACGCTTGCTAGGTGACCTTAGACCAGATGTATATGTTGCGGAATTAGGGCCTGCGTTGAGCCTCAGTCCTCTGCTAAATCTGTGATACTTTAATTTCTACAGATGAATCTTTGGTTCTGTTTCCAGAAGGCTTCAGGACTCTGCTAAATGCTGCGAATCTCCTAGTAACGATCTCTGTACATGAATTTTGCCTTAGAGGATGTTTATACATTCCAGAAGTTAGTGGTGTCACTATCAGAACCAAAATGGACAGGGTATCTGAAACTAGTTTCCTTCACTCTCCTTGACCTTCTGAGAGCTTCCTGACCCCAGAGATAGAACAAAGGGGAGGAATCATGGGTGGCTGCATCAAGTCAGTTCTAGTTGGGTCCACATCACATCCATGGTAGTCATATGTGTAAGGCATGTCAGTAGGTTCAGTACCAGCTATTGGTCCAAGACAGGTATATACCTATGGTTTAGCAAGGGTTGGGGCTGCTCATCAATGCCCAGGGGCCTTGATGTCAGTAGTCGGAATATATTCCTCATTGTCTGAGTGTACACTGTGGATTTCCTTATGTTCAACTGTCTATTTTACTTAATATCTACTTGGAAATAATAAACTGAACTTAGAGGGAAACTTCTGTCTGTGAATCTCTCACTCTCTCTGGCAAGGAAGTGCCCAGCCAGCCTACCCACCAAATTGGAGCTTTCCGTTGAGAAGTTCCCCAACAGTGTACTCTTGGCCTAAACTACCTTACAGGGTTGCTGTGAGAATAAAATAGGGGGAAAGAGAACAGTATAAGCGGCTTTGGGTCGTTACTGGGGAGAAAGGAAATAAATGACATAAATAAAACAATTAACTTGGCCTTTGGCTCCTTAGTTCCCATCTTCCACATGCCATCTGCCCTAGAAGGAAATGCAACCAAACAAACACAGTGATGTGATGGCTAAGACATTTAGTAACTCTTGGCATGTTAAACATTGTATTACATTATAGATAAAATGAGCACCCTAGAAGGAGCATCGCTGGGACGAACCCACCATGCTTCTCAAAGGGAACGTCATCTTCCACGAAAGGCTCAAAATCTTCCCGCTGCTTTATCATGTAGTCCACTGTTTCCTGGCGGTGCTTGAGGTGGTTCCGGGAGTGTCCTTCGAGCTGGTCCCCGAGAGCCCGGAACAAACAGTTGCTAGGAGGAAGACAGACGGAAGGTGAGCTTGTTCCATGCAATAGGAGGGAAAGGGTGCAGACACGTTAAAGGCAAGCAATATAATGAAATGACACCACTAAACCACAAACTCAAGCAATAAGAACTTCCCTCACTTGAACCCTGAAGCAAGACTTCTTACTTGCAGCCTTCACTTGCCTGCAATGAACTCTCCAGCTGAGAACAAACACAAGTTACCCTTCAAAGAGCATTGCCACTACCTTCCTCCCTAATGGAATGTGCCAAGTCTGCCTTCAGTCATAGCATTAACAGACACCACCATTTTAAATGTTCATCCTTGCCAAGCTCTGTTTGATGTCAGAGAGGTACACGTCTCCCCTGCCACACGAGCACAAGCCTTTCTGGGAGTGAGCATCTGCTCCTCTCAGTTTAAAAATTCACTGTCAGGTTCCTGCAAATGATCTGCCTGGTCTCCCTCTGGTGATTCGGTTCTCATCCCAGGAACGGAGACCAGCCTTCCACAGGGGACTCTTCCTATCATGATTTACGGGGCAGGTGAGGGTCAGCTCCCATCTCTTGTCAAGCCAAAGCACGTCAGCTTCCAGGGGCTATGCTAGAGTGACAGACGCTGCGAGCAGCAGTCTTGCCCACAAGACAGAGCTAAAGGGCTGAAGAGGCAAGAAAAAGCAACTATGCCAGTGCTTTCCAATTGTTGTTGTTCAGTCACACAATCGAGTCTGACTCTTTGTGACCCCATGGACCAGATCATGCCAGGCCTTCCTGTCTTCCGCCGTCCTCTGACGTTTGCTCTATTTCATGTTCGCTGCATCTATGACACTGTCTAACCGTCTCATCCTTTGCCGTCCCCGTCTTCTTTGACCTTCAATCTTTCCCAGCATCAGGGTCTTCTCCAGTGAGTGCTCCCTTCTCATTTGGTGGCCAAAGTATTTGAGCTTCATTTTCATTATCTGGCCTTCCAGGGAACAGTCAGGGTTGATTTCTTTTAGGATTGACTGATTTGATCTTGCAGTCCAGGGGACTCTCAAGAGTCTTCTCCAGCACCATAGTTCAAAAGAATCTATTCTTCGGTGCTCGGCCTTCCTTATAGTCCAACTCTCGCAGCCATACATGACTACATGCTTTCCAATACATGGCACCAAACAGGATTGGAGAGAACAGTACACAAAGGAACAATACACAAGCCAAATACAGTTGTAAGGAAGCGCCAGGATTTTCTAGAGACCTGTATGGATACACCTGCCCGTGAGTCCTTCCTTCCACTGCCCATTTGTGAGCCCTTCCCACTGACCATATGTCATTTCCCCAGTGGCACTCGGTGGTGTGCGCAGATGGGAACACCACCACTGTGCCTGTCAGAGGTGCCATCGTTGCACATTCTCTGCAGGTTCTTCCCTGGTGGTGGTGGCTTCGCAACTGTGGGTCTTGCCAGAAAGTCTGGGCCTCGGCAGATGCCCCACCTCAACACATGCCAACATCAGCCCTGGCAAAAGACTCTAGCAAGTGCTCAAAAGCTTTAACGACCAGATTCTCCCCAGTGCAGAAGTTGCTAAAGAAGTAAGAGCCCTGGCAGGACTCCAATTTCAGACTCACGTCTCTGTGTTAACGCTTGCACTGAGGTGCTAATTTGTTGCCATCCACTGACCCTACCGGCCACCTGATCCAATTTCAGCTCTGCATATGGATCTGGGCTCTGAATGGCTCCTCCCCCACCCTCTTTTTCCCTGTAAATAACCCTCGAGATCTTATTCCAATTCGTCTGAAGAAGTGTGCTTTGCACACGAAAGCATACCCTTTGAATAAAGCCTTGCTGGTCTCAAAGGTGCCACTGGACTCAAACTTTGTTCTGCTGCTTCAGACCAACACGACTACGTACTAATTCCAAAGAAACTTATGTTTTCATGTGGTGCACAACATGGGGGGGGGGGGATCAAGAGAAGATATCTATACTCCCCCTCTTAAAAGCAATAACCTTAACGCGCTGCATGGCCGCAGCTCAGACCCTCTGCGGGCAATGTGGGCGGGGCTTGTCTTGGCCCCGGGGCCGAAGACGCGGCGTGGGACGTCCCTGCTTGCGCGCGTGGCGGTTGGGGGCGTGGCTTAGAGCGCGACCGACGGTGGATCGTGGGCGTGGCTTGCTCACCCGTCTCCCGGCACCTCCCTGAGGCGCAGTCCCAGCGCTTGGAGCTGGCCCGTCAGGCCCCCGCCGGTCCCCACTCCCTCGCCTTCCGTCTGAGGCCGGTTCCGCCTCTCGCGGGCCAGAGCCCTCCGCGCCGCCCGCTCATCCCGCTTGCGTTCCGTCTCCGCCTTCCCCGGCCGGGCCTTCGCCGCCTGCTTGCGAGACATCGGTGGCTACTCGCGCTCGGAGTCGGATACAGGCGGCGGCGGCGGGGGGGGGGTTTAACGGCTACTGCGCCTGCGCGAGTGGTGGCCCCGCCCTGGCGTCGCGTGAAAAAGGAAAGGGAGGAAATAGTGCCAGGAAGTGGAACCATAGAGAGGAGAGCCAGAGGGGTTCGTGCAAGCCCCTTCCCGTCATGTCAAGGCCGCCACCTGTCGTCCGTATCTGGTATGCCCCTCTCACGTGGAAAGGTGGGAGCGGTGTTGATCTGAAACAGGTTTGCCCCTTGGGGCCTGTCTGCGTTAATTTGCGTGAGTGTCCTAGAGTCAAGAAGCATCTGCTACCTTCTCGGAGACTTAACGCTTTAGAAATCAAAATATGGATGTTCGAAGTGCAAGCTTACACACTAACGCATACAGTACAAAAGGCGGGGAAGAATGGGAACAGAAACCAGCGGTTTAGGGAACATCTGCAGTGTCAGGAGAATGTTCTGGGGAGGAGCCAAATGGCCGTGGGAGTAGATGGTGGGAGGAGAAGGGACAGCTTGCTGCTGCCTTGATCTCTCCCTCTAATGTAGCTGGGCAGAAGAGCTGCTGTTGGAGACTGTTACCCATTTACCTGGGGTAATGTCTGCAGCCGCCTGTTGCTAGACTTCTTGTGTATATAAATACATTTAGATTCGTATTAGTTTATAAATCCTGCATTTTCATTCAGGTTAAGGACATCAGAGCCATGTGCTATCAGACCAAAATCTAGTTTGTCCTGCATCCTGTTTCCCATAGATGCCCCTGGCAAATACTGAAGCAGGCATGAATGTACAGATGACGCCCAGCAACTGCTGTTCGGTGACATACTGACTCTAAACTTGGGAGTTCCATTTTGCCATTGTAGTAAGTAGCTTTTGACCAGCCTCCTCTTCCTCTTCTCTAAAATTATTAAATCCTAAACTGCTGTAAAATAAATTTGCTTGGCAGCTAAGTCATGTGATTTGACTTCTGGCTGCCAGTGAACAATCCTGTGGACTGCGTGGTTTTGATGTCATGACTCCATGGTGAGCAACTGGTCAGGTTGCCAGCTCTGGGTTGGGAAATACCTGGATATTTGGGGCATGGAGCCTGAGAAGGGTGGAGTTAGGGGAGGGGAGGGACTTCAGCGGGATATAATGCCATAGAGTCCACCTTCCAAAGCGGCTATTTTCTCCAGGTGATCTGATCTGTCTCCTGTAGATCAGTTGTAATCCTGGAGATCTCCGGCCACCACCTGGAGATTGGTAACCCTAGAAACGGAATGTTCCTGGTGCCCTCTCTGGCCCCAACCCTTGTCATCCATAATTGTTGGAACCAACACCCACGCCTGTGGCCGTGCAGTCTTGTGTTGTCCCTAGATTAATAAATGGTGTTCAATTTATTTATCACCCTGACCTCTGTACCGTATTTATTGCCTTGTTTTCTTATTAGATCCTATTCCTGCTGATGTCAGT